AAGGCTTTTCTTTCCTCTTTCGCTTTATCCAGAGTCAACTCTTTTTTTTTAACATAACTTTTTTTTTTGATTCTTTGAGAATTTCACATCACACACCCCAATGCCACTCATTTCAGAGTCCTTCCATGTCTGCCCTCCACCCTTGTAGCCACTTCCCTTGCCGCCCCCCCAAAAAGAAAAAATATTTAACTCTTCTGTCTTTCCCACCTCTCCATCATCTAGTCTTTTGTGTCAGTGGTCTTGAGAGCGACGGTGTATCATGCTGTAGACCTTTGGCCCAAACAACTTTGTTGTAGACTATTATTTTAAGATGTGTGTGTTACATTTGTTTATGCTGTGGGACATTTGTTTAATGATGCAAAAGTGTGTCACATTCTTTTATGTTGTGTTTGTTTAACTTTGTGAAATTGTGTTACTTTACCTGTCTAAAACACCGGATTGGTCTAATAAAAAGCTGAATGTCCAATAGCAAGGCAGGAGAAAGGATAGGCAAGGCTGGCTGGCAAGGAGAATAAATAGAAGGAGAAATCTAGGGAGAAGAGATCAAGGATCGAAAAAAAGATGGGGCCAGCCATCCAACCACACAGCCAGACGCGGAATAAGAAGGAAAGAAAAGATACGCAGAAATAGAGAAGGGTGGGCTGGAGAGATGGCTCAGCAGTTAAGATCACTGACTCTTCTTCCAGAGGTCCTGAGTTCAATTCCCAGCAACCACATGGTGGCTCACAGCCACCTTGAATGAGATCTGGTGCCCTCTGCTGGCACACAGGCAGAAGACTGTATACATAATAAATAAATAAATTCTTAAAAAATATAAAAAAAGAAATAGAGAAAGGTAAAATGTAGCACAAAAAATAAAAACCCATGTGGTTCAGTGGCACAATGGATAGAGCATTGGACTTCTAGTGAAGAAAAATAAAAACCCAGAGACAGATATTGGGGTTCAAGCTGCAAGCTGAAGATCAGAAAAGGAAAGTAGCCAAGCCACTAGCTCTTACCTCTACCTCAGGTTCTCCATCAAGCCTCAGACTGCTGCCTTACCTCAGCGTGGCTGGAAAATAAATATCCAAGTGCTGCTTGAAACACTGGGCTCCTGTCTTTTATAAACCTCTCTAGGGCTGGTATTAAAGGCATGAGCTCTGTTTCTCTTTTAGACTGATTCACTCTCATGTAGCCCTGGGTGGCCTTTAACTCGCAGAGATCTATCCTGAGTCTTGGGATTATAGGTGTATGCCACTACTGCCTAGCATCTATAGCTAAATAGTATGGCTGGCTTTGCTTCCTGAACCCTCAGACAAGCTTTATTAAATCAAAATAACATATCACCACAGTAAAAGCCCAGAGGCAAAGAATAGATGGGATAATTTAAGTTAAGGAAAGCTGACTAAAAATAAGCCAAGCTAAGGTATTAAGAAATAAAAGGAACTTGGGATAAAGATATCCTTTACTAGAAAAACACCAACTAAACGCAAGTCAGAGTGTGCTAGGAGCAGCAAGGTAGGGAGGCCAGAGAGAAGGGGCACCCATGTGCCTTGCTGCTCCTTAAAAACCCATCATGTGTCATCCTGACCTCACCTTGACCACGCCTTAAAAGGCGTGGTCAGGCACACCTGTAGCCGGCCCTTAGGAGGTGTGGTTATGGTGTCTCCCTACACTAAGGTTTGTCTTATTCATAAGAAAGAATAAGCCTCCATTTGTATTTACATGGGAAATTGGTGGCAGGATCCTCAAAGAGCCAAAAGAATACAAAACAACAACACAGCTTTACTTGCAATAAGTTGTTGGTCTCGTTCAAGACCTCTGATTTCTGGTATATCATCAATACTGGACCCTCACAGAAACTTCTCTCTAATATGCTGCTGCCATGGAGATCTTGATGTTATGGTTCCACAGAGCTGGTCCCTTCACTTGCTCCATCAGGTCATTGATGGAGTAGATGTTGGGATGGGTCAACTCAAAGCCCTGGATATGGGCCTGAGTGGTAGCTGAGTTGGTCAGTCTGGGCCTCCACTGGGACTGCTCCCCTTAGGTGAGAATTAGAACCAGCTCTCCCACACCCACACCACTGGGGCCAACTCTCCAGAGAGCATGGTGAGGGGTGGGGCCAGCTTTTCCATTGTAGAGGCTGGAAAGGGGGCAGGCAGTTCTCCCAGGGCTGTTGAAGGTCTTGGACATCTATCCTCCAGCCACACCACTAGGGTCAGTTCTCCTAGTAGGGGAGGTAGCTCTCTCACTGAGGCAGCCACCAAAGGGCAGGACCAGCTTTCTGGTATCAGGCTACCAGAATCAGCTCTCCCCTGACCCCCAGTGGTAACACAGGCCAGGGACATCAACACTGACCCAGCTGCAGTAGGACCACAGACCCAGACATGGCCCTCACCATGGCCCTAGGTGATTGCACAGGCCTTTCAGATCAATATGGCCTTAGGGAACAGCATGGCTGATGAACACCAGCATATCCTCAGGTGATGGTCCAGACCTGGGCATCCCCATGGCCTTGGCCTTTGGTGGTAACACCGGCCATGGTCATCAACACAGGTCCCAACTTCAGTAAGGCCACAGACCCAGACATAGCTCTCAGTGGCAGCACAGGGCCAGACATCACATAGCCCCAGGTGGCAGCATGGGCCACCCATGTCCGCCTGTTCCTCACCACCATTGAGTCTTCAGTTCTGCTTCTCTCCACAGTGCATGAACCACTCCACTTCTCTTTCTCTCCTATTTCTTTACCACAAATTTGTTCATTATGGTGGTGGCAGGCACCTAACAGGCCTGTGACTGACTTCCCACCATCCAGGGCCAAAGCCAAGTCAACTCTTTTATACCATTTCTTGATGTTTAAAGCAATAAGTCTCAGGTTTAGGGAGGAATGTGGACAACAGTGTACTGTGAGGGACACCTCTGTAGGACACATCAGGAGACTTAAAGAGGAAGGTTGTTCACATTTCTAATGAGCACCAAACAATTCCAGTTGTTGCTTCTCACACACACCTTGTCATGTTGTTGCCTTGTAAGAAGACCTCAGTCACTGACCAGCCCATACAGACTCCACCCTGCATGGGCATTGCAATCAGAATAACTCCCTCATGCTCCCCATTGGTCAGCCGGTACCTTCCACCCACAGAATCAGTTCAGAACAGCAGACCTGAGAAGCGCCTTAGTCATCCATCAACTTTCTTAAAGATCGTGACCTAAACGTCTGCTTTAAAGATGAAGAAACTGCATAGAAACAACAACAAAAAGCTGGTTACTGGGTTCCAGTGTGGGTGGATTAATCAGCATGACCCACTGACGGGTAAGCAACCTCAGAAGCACCCACATAACCCTACTATCCTGGGGATGCTTATCTTAGGGGAAATTTACACGTAACACTCTTGCTTTTCTGGTGCTGAACTAAGATGCCTGCAGGGAAGTGGGGAACAGATAATATTCCTGGAAGGTCCTGCAAGCCCTACCCATTAATCCACTCTGTGTGGGCTGCCACATTCCTTGCTTAGGATTTTGGCTTCATAGTTGTCCAGTGACCTTATAAACAGTTCTGTGTAAGTGTTTATGTGTATCTCATAGCTAACTCCACGGTAAAAAACAACCAAAGAGCCATAACTTTTAAAAATCACGTGTGTGTGTGTGTGTGTGTGTGTGTGTGTGTGTGTGTGCACATACACACACACACACACACACACACACACATGTTGAGGTCAGAGAACAATTTTTGGGAGTCACTTCTCTCTCTTTCCACCTTGAATCCTGGTGATCAAAGGCTGTGCAGGGGCCTCACCCACTAAAATATTCCACCAGCCCTAAAGAAGAATTTTTAATCCTCCGTACTTTGCTGAGTTTTCTAATCTCAGAAATGTCTTTATCACAGCAAAATATGCTTTCAGAATGCGCTCTTCGTGATAAATGGAAGGCTTGAAAATATAAACAGACTGTCTTGCACAAGGAACCCTCTGAAGCAGAGGGCCCTGTTTAAATGAAAACCAGCATTTCAAATGGAAAGCAAGACGAAATCACAACACAGGGATCATGTTCCCTCTAGCGTGGACTTTAGCCAGAGTTGGTTCACCTGCACGTGGTCATTACAGACCATCAGCATCAGGAAAAATAGTCTTCTAGAGACGTTAACAGATGTGCTGCTGATAAAGACTTCCCCTAAGCAACGTATGCATTGTTACTCTTTCTTGGAAATTCACTGGTCCGTTGTGGGAAAGAGGCTATAGACTACCAACAGCAGAAGCCCTTCCCAGGAAGGAGCTGACATGTAACAGCCGATGGCCTCCTCATCCAGTTGGTCTTTTCCTTGATCTCTGTGAACAGCTTTGGCCTCTAAACTTCAGGCTCAACTCCCTGGAAGCCAAGGGATCCTGTCCTTCTCTCTTGTGAGCTTATTGTGTGATGATATGTCAACATGTTCTGCTAGTAAAGTCTACTGAGTATTTTGTATTTTTCAAAATTTCCAGGAACATATACTGAGACAATGGGCAGGATTTAAAAATCTTATCATTTGAATTTCTTCCTAAATCCTTGAGCCTGACAGTTCTTGACCATAGCAGATTGGGGTCCTGTGCATAATAATGTTACTACGTATATGCAGCTATACAGAGCATAGCAGTTCATGGCTACACAAGAGCCCCTATGCTAGGGGCTGACACCAGAGGTGGCCATGTGGACTGTGGCATGTCCCAGCTCATGAGAACATTGTCCCTTCTATAGGAAACGATATCCACAATTTAGTGTAGAGTTTGGTGGCGGGAACAGTGTCTGTCTTTTTTTCCAAACTAAGGAAGGAAGGGAGGGAGGGAGGGAGGAAGGGAGGGAGAGAGGAATGAAGGGTGAGAGAGTGAGCGGGAGGGAGGGAAACAGAAACACACACACACACACACACACACACACACACACACACAATTTATTACCTGTCTATAGCATGGAAACATTAGACTCTCAAGTGTGTGTGTCTTTTGAAGGACTGAAGAGTGCCTGCCTTTTGCTGGTGTGCCAATAAGCAAGTGCATGCCTGGTTCCAGGGGAGGGAAGGACAACAAAGTTAGTTTTTAAAAATCAAACACCATATAATGCATCATATTTCCCATTTTGCCTTGGCTATTGGGAGGCTTAGCTCTGAAGTTATTGCTTAACACAATAACTATTCTTTCCCAGGTTTCAATCTCAACTGTGAGCTCCTTCCCAGAGGCTTGGTTTATTTATTTTTTAGCATTCGATTGTGTGCATTTTCATCAGCAAAAGCTTTGGAGGTAGAATATGGTCCTGTCTGAGTTCCAGAGTCAGATGTGCAGAGTTGGGTTTGGCGGGACCTTGAGCAAGCTGCTTGTCTGCTGTGGACCTTGTTCCACAAGGCATCCTGCGATGCTTAGGGGACGCCTCTTCGAGAGCCTGGGAGAATCTGTGGACCTTGTTCTACAAAGCTGCGATGCTTAGAGGATGCTTCTTCGAGGGCCTGGGAGAATCTGCAGATGAGAAGGGTTGACAGCACATAATAACCACAAAATGAGGAAGCACAGTACAAAATTGAGACAACTTCCTCAATACTTTGTGTGCATATTTGACTCTGGGCCACACACATGCCAGGCCTACATTTGCTAACTGAGTTACATCTTCAACATCCTCCAGTGTACCAGGATTTTTCTTTTGGGCCACCAACCGGGATCCAAATCATAACATGGAAGCTTCTTACTGGTTTTGAATGCTTGGCCTAGCTCAGCTGTTTTCTGGCTAGCTCTTAACGTAAATTAACCTGTTTCTACCGTTTGCCTCAGGGCTTTTTACCTTCCTCCTATATACCTTATTTCACTGCTCCTCATGTCTAGCTCGCTGGCAGCTGTCCCGGCTTCTGGCCCCGGGTGTCTCCCTCATTCTCTCCCTCTTTTCTTGCTCTTCTTCTTCTTCTGAGCCTGGATTTCTCCTCCTATTTATTCTCTCTGCCTGGCAGTCCCACCTATCCTTTTCCTGCCTAACTATTGGCCATTTAGCTCTTTATTAGTCCATACTAAAGAAAGAAAGAAAAAAGGAAAGAAAGAAAGAAAGAAAGAGAGAAAGAAAGGAATGAAGGAAGAAAGAAAGAAAAAAAGAAATGAAGGAAAAAAAGAGAGAAAGAAAGAAAGAAAGAAAGAAAGAAAGAAAGAAAGAAAGAAAGAAAGAAAGAAAGGAAAAGAGAAAGAACGAGAGTACATAAGGCCATGTGAGCACAATGTTTGGTCCCACAGCCTTAAGGGGCTTCTGCAAGCAAAGCACTTTGTAGCTGAGCATTATTGACTGCGTGTTGAATCTGCCCCTGCTTATCAGGAAAGCTCAGTTTACAGAAGGACTTTCTCGGAAATCCTTTTATAGATTGGAGACTAGTTTATTAGCCGTGGGTTGAGGTATTTCCTTATTTTCTAAAATTGGACAGTCACCTTATTTATCAGCTGAGAACTATGCATGATGACGATTGAAGCTGGGAGTGCAGGCACCAGCTGCTCCCAGAATAGTTTTGAAGGTTCAAGAGGCTTGGCAAGTGCAAGCAGGCAGGTAGTACCCTAAGGAGTGTGGCAGAGCAGCCACCAGGGAGGGGCCACTGGTGATGTGGTCACTAGTTGACAAGGGCAAGGAAGGCAAGAAAGCAAGTTCCAGAACATTCTCCCTACCCTGCCCTACATCACAACTTATCTTCTCCAACCCCACCACCACCCCCTCACGTTGGAGCTCTGATCGCTTTAATAGGCTTAGCTGGAAAATTAGTGTATGTTCCCACTGTGGCCTTACAGATGTCCCCGTGTTAGCAGATGCTGGGCCTCAGCCAGGAGAAGCACCTGGTGTCATTCCATGTGTCACTAGATGCTTAATATCCCCTGGGAGTACTGGGCCTCCTTATTCCAAAGACCACAAAAAGACTGTTGTTGCAAATGATGCCTGTCAACCGAGGCCCAGGCTTCTGTTTGCATTTGCATAAGTGGCTAAAAGTTTAGCAAAGACAACCAGTGATAGCATTCTCGGTTTTACCCAATGTTAAGGGTAGCTGCCTTGAAACCAAATTGATTCACAAAAATCAGGAAATGACTAATGAATTAATTGGAAATCATTATTAAAATTAATGGACCTTCCAGACCTGCCCTCATGAACTCAGAAACAAGTTCCTTTTTGTTCGAATTTCAAAAGAGCTGCCCCAGAACTCGGCCCAAGGTTCCTTAGATGCATATCTCTGTAATGAGCAAGAGGTTTGCAGATGTGCTGTATTTCTGCAGCAGACTATTGCTTTTTGAGACGGAAAATGTTTCAGCTACCAAAAAGAAAAAAAAAAAAAAAAAAAAAAAAAAAAAACCCAAAAGCCTCACCACCACCATTTCTCAGCGCCCAGAAGAAATACACAGCCGACGAGTAAACCTGTTGAGTGGACTCTAGGGGGCTTCCTGTGGTTGTGGGGTGCACTATGGGCACAAAATGCACATTCAGAAAGAAACAATGAGGTTATTTCTGGAAGAACCGTGGCACTGTCTGTCATGAGTGATGTTTTTGTGAAGTACATATGTTGCATGTATGTAATTATCATCTCATCTCCTTGATCAAGGGTAAATTTCAGTTTTTCTGGTTTACTTCCATGTCCCTTGGTTCTAACACATAATAGAAACCAAAGATATATGTCGAATAAAAACTATCAAGATTTCAAAGAGTGATGAGAGGGAGAGAGGTGTGTGTGTGGGGGGGGGGGGGGATGAACATATAACTAGGGCTGATGAGATGGCTCAGTGGGTAAATGATTTTCCAGCAAGCCTGACAGCCTGTGTTTAATCCCTGGAATTTACATGATAGAGAGCTCTGACTTCTATACACATGCCATGTGAAGAATGCTCAAGCATACACACACACACACACACACACACACACACACACACACACACTAACTGCATTTAAAATATAACTAAAATTAAATTATAACTAAATTAAAATATAACTAAATATAACTAAAATATAACTAAATATAACTAAAACCCACATTTTATTTTATCTTATTGGTTTTTCAAGACAGAGTTTCTCTGTGTAACCCTGGCTGTTCTGGAACTTACTCTGTAGACACAGGTATTCCTGGAATGCAGAGAGATCCATCTGCCTCTGCCTCCCAAGTACTGGGATTAATGGTGTGTGCTACCACTACCTGGCTTAAAACCCACATTTTAAAAACCAGTAGTAGTAAAGCAAATGCACTACTTTTTTTTTTTTTTTTTTTTTTTGGTTTTTTGAGACAAGGTTTCTCTGTGGCTTTGGAGGCTGTCCTGGAACTAGCTCTTGTAGACCAGGCTGGCTCTGCCTCCGGAGTGCTGGGATTAAAGGCGTGTGCCACCACCGCCCAGCCTAAATGCACTACTTTTGATAACTTTTTTACTTTAAAATAATTTCACATTGAGCAAACAGTTTTAAGAATTGTACCAAGGCTGGAGAGATGGCTCAGTGGTTAAGAGCACTGGCTGCTGCTCTTGCAGAGAATTCAGGTTCAATTCCCAGCATCCACTAGAAATATCCTGGTTCTTTACATTTATTTATTTATGGGGTTGTGCATCACAGCACTCATAAGGAGATCAGAGAGCAAGCTGTAGGAGTTACCTCTTCCAACACGAAAAATAAAAACCCAGAGACTGACATTGGTGTTCAAACTTCAAGCTGAAGATCAGAGAAGCAAAGCAGCTGGTCACTAGCTCTTATCTCTACCTCAGACGAAAGGGTTGATCCTGTCGCCCCAAGCTCTCCTTCAAGCCTCAGACTGCTGCCTCTCCTCAACACATCTGGAAACTAAATTTCAGAATGCAGCCTGAGACACTGGGCTCCTGTCTTTTAAATACCTCTCTAGTGCTGGAATTAAAGGCGTGAGCTCTAATTCTCTTTTAGACTGATTCAGTCTTGTGTAGGTCAGGGTGGCCTTGAACTCAGAAAGATCCATTTGCCTCTGTCTCATGACTCCTGGGATTAAAGGTGTGTACCACCACCACCCAGCTTCTATAACTAACTAGTGTGGCTGGCTTTGCATCCTGAACCCTCAGGCAAGCTTTATTAAATCAAAACTAATATATCAGCACAATTTTCCTTCTACCCTGTGAGTTACACAAATAACAATATGGGCTCTGGAGGCTTAAGCTTGGCTCATTGGGCATGAAGACAAGTGCTTTCACCCCCCCGAATCATCTTTCTGGCCTCATCAAAATTTTATATGCATCTTAGCATCCATAGACAACTCTATTGTTGTTATGGGTTGTCTCTTTGTGTTTTGCGGCAGATCTCACGCTGTAACTCAAGCTGGCCTAGAATGCACTATTTAGTCTAGGCTGGTGCCAAATCACCCATCTTCCTACTAAATCCTCCCAAGTGCCAGGATAAAAGATACACACCACCATTCCTGGCTTCATTGACAATTCTCACTTGAATTAAATATTGATATGATGCT